GATAACAACAGTCCACAAATGAACTGACTACCCAAGAGAAACAGAACCAGTTAGTACAAAATGAAAATGATCAAAATTAGGTCCTGTCATCAGATAACAACAGTCCAGAAATGAACTGACTACCCAAGAGAAACAGAACCAGTTACTACAAAATGAAAACTGTGATGAAAATTAGGTCTTGTCATTAGACTACCCAAGAGAAACAGTACCAGTTAGTTTAAAATACTAATGATAAAAATTAGGTTTTGTCATCAGATAACAACAGCCCATAAATGAACTGACTACCCAAGAGAAACAAAACCAGTTAGTACAAAATAAGCATGATAAAAATTAGATTTTGCCATTAGATAACAAAAGCCCATAAATAAACTGACTACCGAAGAGAAACAGAATAATAAAGCTAAATGATTTCTTTAAATTGAAGTGACCAGAAAACAGAAATACCTCACTGTATTGGGAATAATTTGACTAAAAACAAACTTACCTCAAGTCTAATATCACTAATATGTAACTTAAGTCCGTAACAGAATTTACAAGGCCATCCGGTGGAATGATATTGTGGCGAAGAACAACAGTGATCAAATGAACGTGGAAGCGACGTACACAGTAGCTGGCATCATGTTGAATTCCACTTCGGCATAGGCCGATTTGGCGGGTTCAAGTTCCCGCGTTGCCACGTCTTTCGTCAGGAAATCTCCTAAATACTTCATTTTTGGAGAAAACCGTCGGCCGGACTCCACATATTTCTTTTTTGAGTGCATGCCAATGCTTTTGGGGGTTGTAACCCTCGACAGACTCGAAATGGGAAACGAAGACTCATACCGTCGATGGTCGCCTTCACTTCAAATGGTTTCGAAATCAAAACCACAGCGCTTTTGAACTTTGAAAGTCTAAGGTAGAATATTAATTAATTAGTAAGAATTTAACTCGGTCACATCGCATGATCGCTGCCTGACCCTCAAAAACAAAAAAAATCGTACATGTACGCTGCCGTCCATTCATTTGAGCAGCACTGGAAACAAGTTTTTGCGGCGCTTTGTCACACATTCCCACATGAAATACCGGTCGCTCCTTCAAAAATTTTATCAAAGTGACAAAGGAAATATAAAATTCTTTAACGTAATGTCTTTTAACCCTCGCGTGCCCCATCCAAATCACCGGCAGTTCGATCTGGATTTGTTTATCATGTAAATTACTTTCTACGGGTAGATGACGCGAGCTTTTATTTTTAAGATACATTTCGAATGATCAAAATCTTTTTCATTTTAAACAGAAAGGTCACGCCGCAATAAAACGGTTGCGTGGGATGCTGGCTCCTCGCCTTGCCTCGCGCTTAAATGACGCGTCTCTCGCGGATACTCAGTGTCTGGTTTACTTATTATGTTCCGGTCTTAATTAATTTTATGACACCAAGCAAACACCTTTCTATCGCGTACTAGGGCATCAATTTCCGGCGCCTGCTGAGATTTTTTTTCTTGAGCAAAGCTTCTCATGTTTGTTTTCATTGATAAGGGTTGTAGCTTCTTGTTTCATGCTTGTATGGCGAGATTCTAACTCTTGCAGCCTTTGTTTGAGGGTGTCATTTTCTTTTTGAAGCGACGAAATGGTTTCATTTGCATAGGATGAACTTGCCTCTGATTTTAGCTTTTCAATTTCATGAAGGCATACCTCTCTCACTTTGGTTTCTATAAATGAGTATATTTCTTGATCTTGGATATGCGAGTTCGTCTTGATAGGTTTCTCCTTAACTTGTGAATGTTTGTGGTCATTTTCAAACGTTTGGGAGATATGTTCAGATATCATGGTGGCGCGCAAATGTTCCCCCAAAGTACACTTATTTCCACTCTTCTTGAGTCCGCGTTTGTCTAGCTCAGCCTTTAGTTCTCCAGTTTTCAGGGAAAAAATATCTTTATCGTTTAGAAATACCAAACTAGTGTCACCTTCTTCCACTGTCATCGACAATTCGCTAGGTTCCTCAAGTCCAATGACTAGTTCAGCTTGTCTGTCTTCGGTTTCTTGATCTACTTTGCACAAATCAGGTTTTCCTAAGCCTTCTTGATGTTTTTCAGGTCCATACGTTCCTTGAGATAACTTGTAATCTTCTTCCGATCTATTTTCCATGTCTCATTTGGTTTTTTTTTTAGTGACTGTCAACGGAGCTCAACAGTCAGGGTCCGAAATTGGGATCAGTTTAGTTTTCTGGGCAACCGAGCTCGAGGCCTTTCACTTTTCCGGGGGGACAAAGTAAAAATGGTTATCAAGCTCGATGACTTATCGAGCTCGGTGACCTATCCAGCTCGGTGACTTATCGAGCTCGGTTTTTCAAGAGAAGAAAAAAAGAGAAAAAATGGAAATTAAAGCAATAATAACAACATGGAGTACAAAATCTAAAACGCCTTCTCATTCTCAATTCATTACGGGCAAAAAACATTGTGTGGCTGGTCGATTAATGTTGTTTTGGCGGAGAGTGTTTTTAAAAAATATTGACAAAAGGCTTATA